TTTTTAAAAGTTAAATTTTTTTAGATTATGGAATTATAAAGTTTTTTTTAAATGAATAAAGCGAATCACAAATAATTTTGTCCTAGAATTTGTAAATTACAAGAATAAACATAGATTTCTACTTCAGACTACTTTTATATACACTTAAAATTATTTTATAATCAATTCTTTTCTTCTTTCTTTCTTAAATTTTTAACTAACTTAAGCCAAGTGAAAGATAAAGAGAAGAAGAGAAAAAAGAATAAGTGGAAAAATTGTTCATTTTATTTTTGATATTTTGAGAATGGATTGCTATTCAGCAAATAAGCAAGCAGCGACACTCACATTCAAACAAAAAAAAACTTTTTCCAATTTTCCATTTTTTAAGAAAGCAAGTTATTTTATCAATCATATGGGATAAATTAGGTAAGAAATAGTTGGATGGATACGAGAAAGCTGGTACAATGGCAAATGAATGTTAGATTTGTCGTTAAATAGATTTAAGAATTTAACATTGATTTGAAAAGACATGTATTTTTATAGAGTAAACTATTAAATCGCCTTTGACTTCTCAAATTTAAATTGCCTTTGAGCTCCTCAAATTTAAACTGCCTTTAAGCTTCTCAAATTGAACTAAAAGAGCTGGAAAGAAAGAAAAGTTTTGTTAACGCATCTGAAATGATTGAAAAATCAACCACTAAATCGTTTATTTAATTACTCAATCAGCGCACAGTCCATTCGATTCATTGATGATTAAATTAGTTCGGTGAAGCCAACCTTTTTCAAATTATCAATATTTTGTTCTGTTAAGTTAAAATTTAAATACAAGCAACAGATTTTTTGATGAAAAATTTTTTATAAATCATATCTTAATGCTGCTATCATCCAATTAGAGACTTGATCAGTTAATCAATCGTTAATTCTTTTTCATTAATTAATTACACGATTTCTATCCATTGCATGAATCAATTATTTAATTTTTTTATTAATGCCACATTCTCATAAAGTATGAACTCTCATATTTGGGCAAAAAATAAAATAACAATGGGAAAATAACAGAAAATTCAGCAAAAATAAGTGGGTGATTAATTTCTTACCTCATAATTAATTATATAATTTCCTCAATGAACATTTTATATTTTATTTTCTTCGAGAATATTTAAAATTAGTTCTTTTTTAGCTGAATTCTCAAATAAATTCATTGATTGAAAATAAAATAAAATGCGATATGATGCATAACAGAAAATCAGTTATTTCTATTTTTTCTTTTTGCTTCGTTAAGTAATGATAACAAAAAAAGAGAGAAAAACATTATTTGAAGAAAGGAAAAAAGAAGCAAAAGTAAAAACTGTTAGTTTCATTGATAGGAAGTTTAAAAGAATATGGAAAAGATAAGAAAGTAATTAACTTTTTTATCTACTTTTTTCTTATTTCGCAATAGAATAAAAAATAAGTGGTTGAACAAGTATTCGCATATAAGTATTCGCAAATGTTTATTAGAAATTATTCTGATAAGTTTGTTATAATTGATAATTTGGTTGAAATACCTACTCGATGACATGAATATATCTAAGACTTGATAAATTGATCAAATTTTAATTTTTTAACAATGGATTAAAAGAATAAATAACAATCAATGTTTTTAAGAAAAGGAGAGAGGAAAAAAGAGAAAAAGAAAATCTTTAGTCATTTCTTTAAGTAAAAGAAAGGAAAGAAATATAAGTATATTGCTCTTTCAGTGAAAAGATCAAAAGTCGAACGAGAAAAGTTTTAAAATTGCTTCATTACAACTTTTTTATCTTTTCACTCAAAATAGAATTCTTTTCTTTTATTTCATCCAAATTGGCCATAAACATGCGAAATACAAGTAAATTCAAATTGCGACAATTTCAAATTTTATCACATACATTGCTGAATACAAATTGAGATTGAAGAAAAGAACTAAACTTTTTATCAATTAATAAATTGCTTTCATTAAAGTTAACATTTCAAATAGTGGAAGAAGAAAAAGAGAGGGAATGAAAAAATCTCTATTTTATTTGTATATTTATTTGCTTCTTTTTTTCATCAACCTTAAAATTTTTCCCTGTGCCATTTTATGACAGCACTATTTTTCCTTTCATGTATTAAAAACTTTATTTATTGCACGTAAATTTGATATTGCCACTTGTTCGTCAATTATTAAAGTTGTAAAATAGAGAAGAGCGGAAAAGTTTCAATATTGTTGAATTCCTCTTTGTTTCATTACTCTTTGCTTTTTAATAATTTTTAAAATTGATAAAAATTTTACAAAGCAATCAAATTATTTTGATAAATTTTAATGCAAACATAAAATCAATACTGATTCAAAATGATAGCAGCGACGAATTTTATACATAATACATTGCACGTAAAATTGTGACATAATTATTTCATTCTTCTATCCTATCAATTAACTTTAGGGCTAATTAATTCATTCTAAGATTTTATTTTCTGAGCTTCAATTTAGGAATCAGAAATGATATCCGTGGGAATATATGAAAGTAAAAAATTGTTGTTCTGTTGAAAGAATTTATTATTTGTAATATTTCACATAATATGACACTACAAATGTGACAAATTCTTCTTTTTTATCAAATAACAAAAATCACAAAATTTGATTTCGACTAAAGAATGTGTGATCAAAGTAATGAAAGTTGCTGCTTAATTTGAAATATCGAAAATATTTTTTAACTTACTTTTGCATTGTAAATCTTATGTTTATTTGCTTTTTTGCAAGCCTAAAATTTTGCATGCATAAGTGAATTTCAATAAAAGAAATTTTCGAGATTTTATAAAATTTGCCATAAAATTTATTTTTGATTTAACATTGCTTTATTGCTTTAAACTATCTTTACAGATAACTTAAGAAAATGACAATTTTCTAGCTTAATGCTTAAAATACTTTAAAAGGCTAATGAATTGCTTTTTATCACTTTCTTAGCAATTTTTCTTCTTCCACTTTAACTGAATAAGTTTTTTATTGAACAATATTCCCATAGGAAATTAATTGAAGTAACTCATTTACTGCTATTAATTTATTTCCACCATTGAATCATCTTTTCTCACGCCATTCATTCTTGGCTTTCTTACCTTTTATTTTTCTAAACTAACAAGTAAATAGCTCAGTCCAAATTTCAGCATTTATCATTTGATTAACATAAAGTAATGATAGTAAGTTATAGTTGCCGTGGTCTAAATCTTGCCTTTATTGTCCGATCAACACAAAGTATTCGGCTACTGTATTCTGAATTTAACTTTTATCATTGTACGAACTTAAAATGATAATAATGAATGATTGGCTGTCATTCTTTCAAACTCATGTATTCTCTGTTTTTGGAAGATAGCATAATTTAGTTAAATTCAGGCAAAAAAATATTACTCAAATTGTGAATAAAAATCAATATGCAAATTTTATTCCAACCAGTTAAATGTTTGATTTTTCTTTAGTAGTGTAAGATAGTTCTTAGTGATAAAAAAAATGAAATTTAATTAATTTTGGTTAAATAGTAGCTATTATGTTATGAAATGTTTAGTTTATTCTTTTTTCCTATTTTTTCTATTCGAAAATCAATGAGCAGAATAAAAAACTTATCCTATTTTGTTTATTTTAAGTCGATGATAGGATAAGACGCGATAACAGTTATGAATTCCCAGGTGAATACCACATATCACGCAGATATATTTGTCATTTGTCTCATATTTGAAAGATGAAAAGGTGAAAACAAAGAAGGCCAACTTTGAATTTATTCATTTACTTTATAGCTTATTTGATAATAAGTGTAAAAAAATAGAAATATTATGAGGTGATCGATAATAACACAATTCTTTTTTGTTTTTTAATTAGAAGTTGTTTTTTAAATTCTCTTCCAATATATCATTTCTTGTTTTTGCATTTTATCTCATGTCATATCAAGAATTCGCGTGAGATTTGCGGAAAAAATTTTAAAAATTCGCAACAAATTTTATTTCTTCAATTTATGCAAATTTTTGAAGTATATTATCATTATTGTAATATGCATTGATAAAATCAAACAATATAAAAAATTGTTATAAAAATTAAAAGTTAGAAAGATTTCAGTTCCAAAATTAATACTAATATGAAATTGTTAGAAGCTTACAGAAATCATTGATAGATAAAACAAAGAAAACTAGACGACAGTGTAATTTGATGATTTGCTTTTCTTTTGGATAAGATTTAATTACATTGGACGATTTCAGAAATTAAGATAGTCCTAATAACTTGAATAACAAAATTTTAGGCGTTTATAAAATTGGAAAATGCTGTTTGACTTTTGACCTTTCGCTGGGCGAAACATTTGGTATTGCATACTTTTTCAACAAGAAATATTAATGAGGATAATACTTTATTCACAGTATATTTAATGGCAACTCTTTAATGGAAATTTTTATCGGAGGACTTTTTCTTTTGACTGTGGTATTGTATTACCGGGCTGATGCTTTTCCTGATTACTGTATTCATATTCATATCAGATGTATGAATAAGGCCATTCTAAAGAAATTTTATGATTTCAATTATCATTCTATTCTGTTTTATTTAATTACCAGTACTCCTTGCTATTTTCTCCACGTTTATATCAAAATTCAGAAAATAAAATAGATATTTTAGTTCGAGCAATGTTATTATGATTAAAATATAAAATAAAAAGAAAAACAACATTTCTTCCCAGTTTTTCTTCCTCTTCCACCCTTCTCTTTTTTCTCCAAAAAATACTTTTACTTTTTTTGAGAAAAAGCTTATTTATAATTTTATTTCATCGTTTAACTAAACAATCAAATTATTATCTGCAACTAACAAAGTGCTTTTTGCAGTTTAATTTTTGGAAAGAAAAAAGAATTACTACTAAATAATTTTAAACTTTGCAATTATCAACATAAATGATAGAATTTTGAAATGCTTTTTTCTTTTTTCTTTCTTTCATGCATTAAAATATTTAACATATTGAAAAAATAGAATATGGCAATACTTTGCAGGAGAAAATATGCAAAAGATATGGCTCTCAGGTGATAAGAAATTATTACTGACAAATACAGTGGTGACATCCTCATTACTCGGCATATCCGATACATTACAGCAGTGGATTAGCGGTGATTACAATAGTTCTGATCAAAACAAATCGTTCAATGTTACAAGGACAAGTTTGTTAATTATTTGATAAAAGGAAATCTGCCTTTTTTGTTGCTGAATTTTTAATTTTTGCAAAAATTGCAGCAATAACAAGAAAACAATAATTAGAATGTAAATTAATAAAGATATGTTAGAAATATCCCAACGTACGTAATGACTACTTGCAAATGTAAGCATATAAAACGTGAGATTGTCAAGCCTAATTTATATAATTATTGTTTTTAATTACACTTTTGAAACTTCTAATCTTAAAAAAATTAAAAATACTATAGCTAATTTGAATTATTTTACATTTTGCATGCATATATTTTTGTATTTATTGAGAAAGATTTGCAACAATGGGCCTCATCATTGGCCCAATGTGTCATTTTTGGTACAGATGGATGGAAAGGACTGTGATACGCGGGACTAAAGCAACCGTTGTGAGTAAAAGAATTGCATGCGACATTGCCGCATCACCTATTTTTGGATCAATATTTATATCTGGTAACCATTACAGTATTCACTTATGCTCTACAGTACTGTAGCAATACGATAGAAATTATTCAAAAAACTAATTTTAAAAATAGCAGTTTCTAAATGATATGACGGAAAATGTTAATTTAAAAATCTCTTTTGATGTTACATATTTTGATTTAATAATAATGAAAAAAAAACTTGAAAATAAATTGTGCCAAGTTTTATCAAGTTCAAATTGCCTAAACGATAATTTGTTTTTTTTCATTTCTCTCGAGGATATGTTTCAACAATTCTATAAATCCCTAACTAATTATGATTCAATCTATCTGATTCAGTTTAAGTAACAATTATTGACGAAATTAAATTTATGCATATCAATTTTCAATTATCCTGAATTAAAATAATGTCATAAAGTTAAATCTTAATCGATAAATAAGTGAGGAAAAGTTTCTAAACGCTGCAACTTCGGACAACTCTTGCTTCTCTGCTTTATCTGTGTATTAATCATTGAATGAAATTTTTTGTTTTTAAATTATTCAATGTCTGAAAAGGAAAATTTATAGGACTTGCACTACTGGAGGGTAATTCGATTGCCGAAGCTATCGCTGAATATCGAAGAAAATTCATTCGAATATTTTTGGTTTGTCATGCCAATTTGAATTGTTAAACATTTGAATTTCACTGTCTAATAAAAATTGCCGCATACATCTAAAAGGAAAAAAAGATTGAGAAAA